CCGAACGACCCTCGACCACGTCTCGACGAGCGTCCGGGGAAGATCGGGGATTATCTTCGGCGGTCTTTGTCCCTGGTGCCGACATGACCCCGAAGCTTGTGATCTACTTCATCTGGACGGGAGGTAAGCACGACAAAGCAGGTGAGCGGCAATGCAAGGAAAGTTGATCTGGTGTCGGTTGTCGTCCAAGGACAATACCTAATAATTTGCTGACACTAATTATCTGTGTCCATGCCACGAAGCACACAATTTCCAACTTTGAGGGAGAATACCGCTCAGTGACCTTAAGAAATAAAATGGTTGGTTGCTCTCAAAAGTGGACTGCAAGCATCACGAGACTTCACTTTGCCCCACAAGACTTGCACAAGTTGTAGTGGTTGTGGGATGCAGAATAAGTCTCCATTACGAAATGGAAGTGAAATGGCTTGGATAGCAAACAAACATTGTTGCCAGCTATCAAGTCAACGGTACAGCAAAAGGCACAGCCACATAACCAATACATGCCCGAGCTTGCTGCATTGGTGCAGAAAACTACCAGGAAAATTTTGCGGATTAGAAGCCAGCCCTGCAGCTTCAGTGCGCCAAATGTCAGTGGGCGCACACGACGTATGATTACAAGACGGCATCAGTCGGTCAAAGTTGCTACTCGACCAAACTGAACACCGACGTGCCAGGAGCGTCATCCCACAACAAGGTCCACAGGTATTACGACTGAACGCCTGACAGGAGACTGTCGGAGAAAGAACTCGTTCTGGAACCATTAACTAAGAATCAATAATTATGTAATCCTGTGGAAATAAACATATTTGATACACTAACCAGATCAACCTATTTCCACTTGCCTTGAGAGTTTATACACCAAAAATTGTGTTCACCACACGCGCAGGTCCTTTTGAGGACACTCGCATCTCTGACTCTTCAATATTAATTAATGGGACATACCAGACTGGCAGACTTGTTGCATTGGGCTGCACTCATTCCACTTCTCCTCAACACACCTCTGAGCATATACTTTAATCATATGTGTTGATGCATTGTTATATAGCAGGACACTTCCTATACATATGACACAATAGACCCTTTGCGGAACCCCATCAAGCAACAGAACTGTTACCATTTTTTTTTGGCGTAAAGCACACAAATGGGCCCCAGTTCACGTCGAATGCTAATGCAGCATTCGAGTCCAATATAGGCGCTGAGCCGAGTTCACAGTGATGGCGGGCGTAACATTCTTGTCGAACAAATGACCAAAGTATGAAAGCCTGGGGTAATTAGAGTAGTAGCTACTGTAATTCGTTTCATTACAATTTGGCAAACAGCAAAGGCTACAGTCTCGGTGAGCCAATATGCACGTTGGAGAGAGGCACATGACAACATGCCATTCAGAGTGCTCGTCTGCACAGATTTGTCACACACCTTCGCTCTGTCTCTCTGATTGGCTCGAGGGGGCTGTGGCGGTTGCCCTTTTCCAGGTTACAATGATACGAAGTATAGACGCTTTACAGCAGCTGTGCATGGGCGCCGCCATAACCGCCCTTCAGTTTTTATTTTCGCTTATATTTTTCACTCTGCTCCATCATTACCACAGGAGGACAGGTTACTGGCATTTTAGATATGACGGTGTCTTTCCCCAGCATTTGCCTTTGTGGAGGCTTGCCAAAGCCCGCTTCAGTGGTTGGATATCTCGGTAAGACAGTAGAAGGTCGGCAATGGCGTCTGTAATCTGGCGCGTGTGTAAAGCGTCTATAGGCAACCCACACTTTTCAAAAAAGGCTATTGAAGAGACCGAAATGAATGGTCAACATTTTTCAACAAGACTGCTCTTCAGGCAAGGGATGAACACAAATATGAATAATTTTATCCAGGTAATTAGAACAAGTAAATAATTTACCGACTAATACAATGCAATCTTGATGAAAAAAAGTATTGCTGCAATAAATCCTACGAAAGAGAAAAAAGGTGCAGTTAATCTATGCATACACCAAAAAAGTTGTTCTTATTGCAAGTCAAATAGCTTTGAAGCAGGTGCCTGCAACGACTTATTCATCCCCACACTCAATAAAACGTCATTCTCGTAGCTGAAAATAAGTGTGCACTTCGCACTCACCAAAAAAGGAAGAAAAGCGATCGAATGTAGAATCGTCGATTAGCACAAAGGGTTAAAGATCGCAGGAGCTTCCTCGCTAAAAGTTGCTATGGTTATTCGGTGACGCAGGCCTGAAAAAACTTCTCCTAGGCCCTAACGCGACGTATACCCTTCGCGTCGATTCTCAGACATTCCAACGTTCAAACAAAGCTAAGAGAATGCGAAAATTTTATGCTAAAACCACTCAAAGTTCTATCGATCCTCGAACAGATCCCGAATCCGAGCACCGGTACGGCGATACGGCTGATGCTGTCTCACAGGTGTTAATATCCAGATGATCCAGAGCGATCTTGCGCAGAAAAGGTATAAAGTCTCATTCCTTCATATTTTCACATCATACCTGCGTCAGCGAGCACGAAAAAGCCCGAAATCGTCGGAAAGCCGCTGCACATCACGGCTGCCGCCGCACCGAACAAACTCGCATCCGCCAGCTCTGGGCACTGCCATCTTACCTGTGACGTCGCGGCTCTTGTTAGGTCACGTGACGAGTGGTCACATTTGCGTAAAACATGGCGGCAACCGGGGGGGTGCCACTTCAGAACTTCCGGTTTATCACTCTAAGCCCCTCTACCTCGTTGACCTTTTGGGATTGACGTCACATAATCACAACTTCGTGGCGCGCGATTTAAAACGGACGAAATAGCCGCAAACTAAAATGAGTCTCACGCAATAAATATTGCTGTAAAAAATGTTTTTTCTCGCGGAAAAATTGTTTTTTGACATGCTTGTCCCAATTAGGCTATTTAAAAAAAAAACTTTTTTTTCTTTGCAGTTACCCTTTAAAGTGTCCTAAAATGTCATACTTTTTTTATTCGGGACTTTTATTCCTCTAGTATCGCAGGTAGGCTTTCACCAAGTTTATTTTGCATAAATCTGTATATTTCTGTGTGCATTGAACCTTGTTACAGTCGTGCGCATGCGCAAAGCATCTTGTAAATTGAAGATAACACACATCCAGCATGTTATCTTTTTCTACAAAAATTAATTAAAATAATTGATACATTTTTTTTCATAAAAAAAAAAAAAATTGCAGCTTGTCCTAACAACGTTTGAAGACCTTTAGCCCACTTGGATGCATGAATGGATTAAGAATGGTGCTGCAGTTCGAGCGGCAACGTCTGCCACCTAGCATTCAGAAGCTCGACTAGGCTAGGCTTGGCTTGTCTAAAGGGCACGACACCCTCACAGTTTTCATAATGCCTCAGAATGCTCACTGGAGGTGCCGGCATTTCCAGAAAGGTCCCTTGCAGCATTTTTCAATTAACAAGTTGCAAAATAAAAAGTCTAAAATAAATGAAAACATCCTAGCTAGTCTGAAAAATTCATGTAATATGACAATAATTGTGAGTAAAGCATATGGTGCTATTAAAGTCACGACTTATGACAATCGCAAAAATACCAGATTCACCGCCAATCCTTCCAAACCAACTGCCTAAAAATAAAAAAACAAAAAAAAAATTATAAACTTGCACAGTTTTTCTTGATTTTTTATCGAATTTGACGCTTTGGTGAGAGCCTTTTTTAAAAATTTTTAAGGACATTTATTATTTTTATTTTTACGCACCTTTGTTTTGCTACTTTAAACTTTTCCAATTCCAAGGAGCGCTTACCCGCTTACACACCTGCTCACTTGCAGCATGTTTTGTTGGCGTTGAAAAACTGGTGAAACAGTAATGAGTTTTAGTATTGCGTATCTGAGTGTATGCAAGTACAGAGTGTTTGCATTAACGTTGCATGTTCCACACTGCCCAAAATTGAGGTCTCGGATTGGCGCATGGCGACGGCGTGCAAGCGCCGCGTGGAGCGCGCAACTCATATAAACGCACGGCGCTTGAGTTTGGTATTGTATGCAATACTAAAGCTCTCTAGTAAGGTACAATCCCATACCAGCTGCAGCACTACATTGATACAGTGAAAAGTGTTGTTTGCAATCAGAAATGACTTTTCGCAAGCCACGATCGCGACCGGTCCTGCTGTGTCTGCTAAGCAAGAGAACCGGGGGACCCTTTAGTGAAGCGCTTCCTGTTTCCGCCGTGAGAGGGCGAGCAACAAGCTGGAGGAGCGGATATTTCTTCTTCCTCCCCAGTCCAGTTTCGACTTCGGTTTCGAGCAGTGGCGTTTTTTACTTTATTAAAAATATATGTGATCCTGTAGCAAAAATTACACCATAATAAGTCACCTGGCAAGATACAAAAAAAAATGTTTTGGGGGTGTTGGTGTCTTCTTAAGGTATACTTTGCCAAATTCTTGAACTTCCCAGCATATATCTCTGAACTCGTAATAGCTACTCAAAGGACCGCGAACAAAGGCGGTGCCAGAACCAAGAGTAAAATTTTCCACCGTTTTCCAGTGGCGCGACGTCACTGGCAGGCACGAGCACACATTCCTGAAAATGGAGTACCTCGCGTATTGTTTTCGTGCTACTAAGCGAGTGCTGAATTGGACTTCCACTGCATTTATTTGTCGCCTAGCTATACTTGAAATCATTTGAGAGCGAATTCTACTGCCCAAATCGTGAACCTGTGCATGTCGATGGTGCCACATTTTCAGTGTTGCCATTAGAGACCATCTGTTAAAAACTGAGTCAAAATAAAAAATTTAAGACCTTCGCAAAAAAAAAAAAAAATTATTTTGGCATAGCATTTAGGTTACTAGTTCAGCGGCATTTCTTAGTATGTCAAGACAATTTAGCGACAAGTCAACGACCATGATATGATATGAAATAGCAGAGCGATCCTCTAAAGGTAATATGCCAAAGCCGTAATTTTTTAGGTTGTTTTTTATTGCCATAGAGGAAACGGACAGTTAGAAGTAATGGAAGAGCGACCAAACATGTCTTTTCTTGCCTTTTCAGTCCACAAGAAGAGATTGGTGTCGAAAACGATCAAAGACCCCGACCAGCGTCTTCACAAGTGTCGCCGATGCTCGAAGTCCTTTGGAACCAAGAGCTGGCTGAAACGTCACTCCTGCATTCATAAAGACACTTCTCACGTGCGGCGCAAGAAGCGGGACATCGTCCCCGCCAGCCAAGGTGTTGAGCCCGCTTGCCAAGATGTTGCACCTTCTGGCCAGGACATCGTCTGCGCTAGTGAAAGTGTCACTCTCGCTAGCCAGGATGTCATCATCGAAAAGCGTCCCGGCGTCGACACCAAAGAACGGCGGTACGCTTGCGACAGGTGCACCGAGGCATACTCCGAGGAGACGGAGCTCGCCACCCATATGCGTGGACATGCCAGCAGCGACCGTTACCGGTGCAAAGATTGCGCCAAGACGTATGCCCGCAGGTTTCAGCTACAAACCCACATGTTGACTCACTCCGGCGAGAAACCCTTCAAGTGTCGGCTCTGTCCGAAAGGATTCATTCGGAAAGCGTCATTGATATTGCACAGTAAAGTGCATGTCGAGGATAAGTACAAGTGCGACCTCTGCCCGGAGAGCTTCCACCTCGAGATCTCGCTGAATAAGCACAAACGCATGCACGCCCCCCCGAAGCGCTTTCCGTGCAACTGCTGCCCCGAAACGTTTGCGAGTGCGGCGGAGCTGAAGGTGCATGCGCGGATTCATGCTCCGGAGTATCGCTGCACGGAGTGTGGGAAGTCGTTCGATCGAAAGGGACTGCTCGCGATCCACATGGTGACTCACACGGGCGAGAGGCCGCACAGTTGCAACATCTGCCCCAAGAGGTTCACACAGAAGGTGGCCCTAACTGTCCACCTCCGCTCTCACACCAATGACAGGAAGTACAAGTGCGAGGTCTGCGACATGAGGTTCCTGCGGAAGCAGGTCCTCGAGCGCCACATGGCGGTGCACACCGGAGAACGGAAGTATGCGTGCGAGCACTGCCCCATGCGGTTTGCGCAGAAGGCGGCACTCTCGATCCACGAGCGAACTCACAGCGGCGAGCGGCCCCACGCGTGCACCACCTGCAAAAAGAGGTTTGCAACCAGGGTGAACCTGGAGCGCCACGTCGCAACGCACACCGGCGAGCGGCCCTTCGAGTGCTGGTTGTGCCCCGCAGCGTTTGCCACCAACTCGACGCTTCAGGATCACGTGCAGACGCACGAGCGGACGCGCGAGTACAAGTGTGCCGTGTGCGAGCTCGTCATGTATAGCAGGAGGGGTTTCAGTGGCCACATGAAGAGGCACGTACACAAGGTCGAGTCAACTAAAAAGTAGTAGTGGACGCGCTGTCTTATTACACTCTCCTTTATGTTTCCCGCTTTGCCAAAGGTTGTTAGCATGGGCAAACTTGATTACTGCATGAAATAAATGTGCTCGATACAAATAAGGGGTCCTCGAACCAGTTGGTTGTTTGCCCGTCGGAGCAAAGTCCGACTAGCAATGTTACGGTTGTTTTTGCTGTCGGATCAACAGTCTAGTTCAGCGCTTCCGTGGCTGCTGCATAACGCTTGAGAATCGTGGAGCAGTGCCAATTTTATACAGCCGATTGAAGAGATAAAAAAAAGGGAATATGTGCAGAGTATACGCGGCCACTTGAAAACTGTGCATCTTGAAGCCATAAGAGTCCTTATGGTCATCAGTTTCTGAGTGTGTTAGTGCACTGCAGCTCGGAGCAAGTGCAGCAGTAGTTCGGAGTGGAACACTCGGAGGCCGTGGGCTCGATCCACTCATCCTGTTTTTCACTTTTGATTTGATCATCGCTTGCACCTTGCGTGACAGCAGATCTGTACTACTTTTACATGTGGCCCAATTTCAGAAACAACTTCCAGGCTCCTCGAAAGCCCCAGTTTTCTTGCGAGCCTAGGTCGACAACCCTTTTGCGTGTTTCTTTGTGCGTATTTTTAGGGTAAATTAAATTTGGTCACAGCGTCTTGCTTATTGAACATTACCACAACAGTCGAGGTTAGGAGCAGTTTTTAGTTCCAAGTCAAATTGATTAAGTAGTAGTTGTTATCCTTTTTATCTCGCATATGCGTGGGCAATGCTGAAAGAGCATTGAAAACTAAACGGTATGTGCATCAACAGGAACAATATGTAAATTCTGGAGAACATCACCTATGCTATTTTGTCGTTTGATGCGCATTACGGGACGGCAGGAATGATCCCCTAAAACGGGGGCTGTCCCGGCCAGAACAACGTCTGGTCACCCTACGTGCATGGCATTTGCTGTGCACTGTTTGTAAAACCCTCGAAAGGTGACGTGACGTATGTATATATATTTTTTTTTGCAAAACGAAAATAATGTTGAAATTGCTGCGGTCACTATGTTGATTCTCGATGAAATGCTTCAACATTTAACGCAGGGAATGGAAATTCCGACCTCGTAACTCTCCGGATTGTGTTTGAAGAGCCAGTCTGTCTCTTGGGCGTCTCTAGTTTTGGATGCAGCCACCACAGCCTCTCTCCATTCCTGCAGTGCAAAGTGGACCAGAAGACTTCCCCTCTTGTAAGAGGGAAAGTGGACGTAACGAGCGAACGAACAGAGTGGAAGCACAGCAGGAACCGCGCCGCGTCATCACGAAACCAGTCCAGTCCAAACCAAACCACGGCCGTCCAAATGAAAGACGGCTGCATGCACCAGGGCAACAAGATGCAAATGCATTTTATTGCCCTCGTGCATGCTTGCTGTATTTGATACTACATTCCTGTGGTGTTTTATCATTCTGCAGTTTTGGCTATGCAGGGTGCAATTTTGTCTGCTTCTTGCGCAGAGGTTGCACTGACATAAGAACACCGAGCTCTGATTGGTTCTGATGAAGGGACAGTGGGTATATAGACCTCAATACTAGCTACCTTGAGGTAGCTAGTATTGAGGTTATTGAGGTATTGCGACGATGCCCTAAAGTTGTGCAAAGGCTTGTCAACTTTTCTTTTATACAACACCTGACTGTCATTTTTTTTTTTTTTTTTTCAAGATAAGGTTAATTGTTTAGTTCAGAAAAAAAGAAAAGGTGTAAATGTCTTTAAGCTAGGTAGCGCAAGGCACTGCCATCCAACTTAATTTTCATTTGTTTCTTTTGCAAATTGCTCACTTTTCCTTCCACAGGCTACTTCAGTGGAAGAGGGAGTGAAAGAGGCAGAAAGAAAAATGTGTGAGGGAAGAATGCAGGAAACATTGGCTCTAACAATGTACAAGTCACAAAAACAGTACATAAGAAAATATAATTTTTAAAAATTCACTGGGAAGTTCTTTACTGTTTGGGGCAAGAACAGGAGTTTTTTTGGACAAAGACATATAGGGCTAAATTTCAGGAGACAGGCAAATTATGTGCCGCCTGCCATAATGATAGCGAGACACTGGAGCACTTGGTTTTGATGTGCACGGGGCTTCGCCCTGCTCTCCCTGAAGGGGTAACGGATTTGGCCGGGGCCCTGGGTTTGCTGGCGATGATGGAAGGACAGAAGGAAAAGAATAGTCACAAAATGACAATTAGAAGATTAGTGGAAATTATCTAGGGAAAATTGAATGATGCGAAACTAACTAGCACATTAGGACTCCCTCCCACGTGACTCCATCCCAAAGTCTCAACCTTGTCTCCCAGTCGACCCAGTGCTGGGGTAACACCGACAAGATTTGCCCAGAGGAAAATTGGTGACTCGCTCGCCGGGGGGGAAGAGGCAGGGGTGATGTTTTTAGTTTTTTTTGCCTGATCCCCCGAAGGTCATCTTGGTGACTGAGCCGTGCATAGAGAGTCTGGCCATTGGAAGGATCCGGCAGAAGCTGGAGTGGAACGGCGAAAGCGGCGGCAACGCCAGTGCCGCATATTTCTCCCATGATTAACTTGCGAAGTAAGAATGCACTGGGATGACCTTAAAGGATTCATGTAGCGCAGTGCAGGTATTTTTTTGTTTCTGGATGAGGCTCCTGAATGTAGAATTGTAAGAGATTGGTGGAAAAGGGGAGTTTCAAGGTGCTGAGTACGTTCACGGAGCCAGGAAAGGTGACATTGACGAGAAAGATTTTCTGAAACGTGAGGCGACACTGCGAACCTGGGGTGCGCGTTCGGGGTTTGGGTCGAATCTCCAACGGAGCTGAATCCGAGGGTTTTACCGCCCACTGTACGTGTTGTGGCTACCGTGCTGAAATTAAATAGTTGAATACATCTTTACCTAGAGATTGTGATTGGATGGTCAGGGCCTCCAAGGTTTTTCTTGCGCTCTGCTCCGGCGTTTCCGAACGCTCGACTGCCCAACAGAAAAAGCGAGCCGAGTCGGTTCTCTAGATCTCCGCATGCGGCGCTTAGAACCAAACCAGAAAAGGAAACAATCGCCTCGAATCACGCTGTCCAGTTTGAGCCCGTGGCATGAAGTTTGCATCTTCATTGTTCTCATCATCAGAATAGAGAAAGGTAAGTCGATCTCTGTTGATTCTGAAGTTTTATTTGCTGCTCCAGTCTTTACGCTCTTTTGCTGGATGATACCTCAGAAAATCGAAAGAAGAGGAAGCCCTCTGGGCGTAAGATGCGTTTTTCCCATCATCAGAGAGCCAGCCGGACCAGTGGCACACCGTGTCTTAGATTCACATGGTGGTTGCACCACTTGGTTACAAGCTCGACCGCAAGCTGGGAGACTTCAGAGCCCGCTTTTGCGAAAACCGCTACCCGGCCAACACCGGTGCCAACATATGGAGCCCACCACCGGTGTGCTGGACTCCCTGCGTTGCCGGAAATTCGAGCGGCTCGTCTGCAAGCCGTGGACGCAGGGAGGCCTCGTCAAGTGCTCGAAACCAGCCTGCTAGGAGTCGGCAGCCCGTGGCGGCCCCATGAAGACAACCTTCATGAAGATTGCTGCAAGCCTAATGCTACCTCTTTACCCTCTTCAACCACAATACCAACCCCTCACCCTCGTCCACAAGCTCCATTTAAACCATAATCACCATTTCTTTTAAGAATTCATTTGTCCAATACCATCTCATCATCAGTGGACATGGCACCGTGGACCCTTACGGTATGAGCAACCTGCATTCCTGCGGCACCGGGGCTCTCCTGAGCCTGAAATAAATCAATATCACTCTTTAGTGTGAACCTATATTTTGGCTCGCCTTCCTGATTTTGATTGGCTCAACTTTCTGTTTTTTACTGAAATGATCAGACACACATTTTGTTTGGAAACAAAATCGTGGGCATTTCTTCTGCACCCGTTGCGCTTTGAAAAGATGAACCTTCAAATTTCGATCAACTTCTTCCTTGCCAAAGGTATGTTTGTTGCAGCGAGAGACGGGGAGCGTATTTCGAGCTGCTCCTAAGTTCTGTAGACCGATGATAATTCACGGCTATTTCTTTATTTTTTTTCGTTTCGTTGCGAGTGCCACCAAGCGTCCCGCAATCAGTCTACTGCGCGAATGCAATGGCCCGAGGAGCGCAGCCAGCCTGCGAAAAATCTGAGGTCATGGGAAGGCATTTGTTAAGCTCATTGCCTCTGCTAGGGGAATATTTGAGGCTTTTAGTTCGTCACAAGAGCTGTCAATCATTGCACCCAAGGTCGTTGAAACAATTTCGGCCAATGACGTGCTCTTATTTTTGCCTTGTACGGCTCTGCCTGGTGATATCCCACACTACCTCCTGGTGATATCCCACACTACCTCCTGGTGATAGGGGGAGAAAATGGGCTTAAGACGGGACACTGATCTCTATGACAATTGCTGGATCGTGCTTCCCTGCTTGGTCGCTGCAGCGCAAGTGAAGTCATCGGACGGTCATCTTGTATGTGGCGAAATCGCGATTTTGCTGGCGTTGCAGAAGCTGGCGACAGTGTGCTGAAGACGCGTTTTGTTCATTCATTGTCATTCACCGATGAAGTTTTTTAAGACCCTGTGTAAGCGTTGAAACTTGCTGTTGAGTACACGTGGAAAATTTTACAGAAGTGAGTGCTGCGGAAAAAAGGCACAACTCGTCAAAAGCAATTTTCACCAGTCTCTCGATGCCATCAAAGCTTCCTTGGCATGCCAAAGTGCTGTGTTTCTGTGCCTTCACAATTTGATACCGATCAAGATTCGACACCGTGTGGATGTGTTTTGTGAGTGCAATGTGCGTGAAGACTTATGTAAAGGCACAAATCGTTGGAACTAAGTTTCGTCGGCATGATCAAAGCTATATTCCTTGGCACAGAGGAGCGGCAAATTCTGTGCGCCGACATCTGGAGTCTTGAGTGCAAGATCGCAAAAGAGCGCGACAGAACACGAGAGAAACCAATGTTGCCAGCTGAAGGATGAGAGTCGCAGTGGTAATTGCAAAGACTGAAAACTCGGTAAAATAAACCAACAATTTAACGTTGTAAAGTAAATTTTCAGCTATTTTAATGCTGCATTAACTTCCCTTCTGCATGCTGTCTAAATATCCACACAACCCCAATAATGAGAGCGCGATTCAGCAATTCTCATAGAGATCAGTGGTACCGACCAGATACGTACACGAGGCTCACTCAATTTACCTGCACCGGTGCAGAAAAGTGTAGGGCAGTGTACTTCCTGGTATGTGTATTGAGATACGACCAGAAGTACACTGCCCTACACTTTTCTGCACTGTGTAGGAGGTGCAGGTAAATTGAACGAGCCTATAGGCAACCTGCAATGCTGTTTGGTTTGGCACCATCTAGCGACTGAAGCAAGAAATATTGGGTACCCCTGGGAGTGGCAGCTGCATTGTTCAAGCGTGAGCTATTACTCTGGTGGCGCCGCTGAGCCTAGTGTCCGAAGCAAGAAATACTGGGTATGCTAGGAAGCCGTGATCGCGTAACGTGCCAGTAGAGCGAAAGCTACGGCCCTGGCGGGCCAATCGGAACGTGACTGCGCATCACTGGAGCGCGCCTCAACTCCGAAGCAGTATCGGGCTTTTCGCTGCGTCATGCTCCAATATGTGTGCGTTGCGCTCATATACGTTGCGCATTTCGAAGCATTCGGCACGCAATGTGGGGCTTATCGTTCGCCGTTTGTTAAGTTACAACGAGACCGTGCGCTCTCACCCTGCTGGTGCCGCCTGGCCGTTGCCAGCTGCCTATATATAGGTTATATTCACTGGCTGTCATCTGTGCTCGGTGCTGCTTTTGAACCACCGGGGAAGAGAGAGAGAGAGAGGGAAACGCTGCTTTTGTACGAATTTTAAGTAAAAGTTAATCTTCTAGAGGGAGAATAGCGACATCTGTGGAAGCCTGGGACATAGAAAGGAAAGTCCCAATGGGCGCGTTCAGTAGCGGCCCCGGAGTCAAGGAGTCACTGACTCCTTCCACTGGACGGCCAAAAGTCACTTCCGGTGCACGTAACTCCGGGGCATCGGAGTCAAGCTCCGAAGCACCGAGTCCGGAGACGGTGCACGTAGAGTCAAAGGAGCTAAAATGACGTAATTTCCTGACTGGTGACGATTTCCAGTGCTAAAAGAGGAAAAAACAAACAATATGGCCGGATAAGCTGCTTTGGTTCAATCGCGGGTGCGCGGTTTGCTCGCTTTTGTTAATGAAAAGTGCTCAAGGTAAGACGAATAACGCGTTCGAATATCTTTTTTAGGTAAGGCTCTTTTGGAAAATGCACTGGACCGTATTTTGTTTGGTTTGAATATGCTAATAAACAACGCAAACGTTCATTTGGCGCCGTGTCTTGATCACCGTTGCACGGGAACTCGGTGAATATCGACGATAGTCCTGTCCGCGCTGAACAGAGCAAGGCAGGGTATGAACGCGACTTTGGAAGCCGGTTGGACAGTCACGCAGAGCATGATACCGACTAATGTTTTGTTTGCGTAGCTAAATCGGGGTGCACGTTGGCTGAGGCTCGCTTCGGCCGACAAAACCTTGATCGCCGAGCGCGGCCGAACTTCCCGTGTGTATACGAATACATTTTATAGGAAGTTCGTTACGAAGGGCAGGACAAACATATGGCCGTATGAAAGTATCGCAACCGGTGGGGTAGATTCGCTGAGCTCTGTATTTTGCGTGTGCTGACGACGTTTTTTTATCGGCTTTTATAACAGCAGCTGCCTTTGCACCGCCAAGCGAATGACTCGATCGCGTTGCATCGCTTCGAACAGCAGCGCTGATGTGTACAATCACCCGCTTCTTCTTCAACGACCTTGTAAAGACTTCTTCAATACCGGCGTCAAATAAAAGCGATCGTGCTCGCCATCGTCTGCTTCCAGTTTATTCGGAGACTGTCTGGCACAGGGGAGGAAGCGGAAGTTGCGTAGAAGCAGGTTTGGAGCCGCGGGTTTTTTTGCCGTTCAGTAGGCGCTCCGATGACTCCAACTCGAGGCACTCCGCTCGGAGGCAAGGGAGGCGCTACTGAACGCGCCCAATGAGAAGAGAGTGTCTCCTTCCCTTCTCATGTGAATGCCCAAGAGCTGACCGGAAACTCACCCCGAGCATGCGCTCTGAGCAGTTACCTCAACCAGACCCAGACCCCCCCCCCCCCCCCGAAATCTTCCATTTTGCTCGGGCCTCCTCTCCCCCCTCCCCCTCATACAGCATTTTGTCATCGCCGCGCCCCGCGGAAGTGGTGTAGGGACGCCAGTAGCGGTTGCTATGATACTGCCGCGCGGCGCCCATTTTCATCTCGCTCGTCTTGTGATCCCTGCTTCGCTCGCGGGAGCGCGAAGTGGGACGGGAAAAATTTATTTGGCTTTTAAACGTAAGCTAGGTGGCGCAAGCTACCGCCCATTACAAAGGGTACACGTGTTATTAACATCTATCCATCCACAAGTTGGGTCTGATCGTGGGCAACGTTGGTCGCGGGCGTCTGGCGCGCGAAAATGGCGAAAAGAGAACCGAAGGTATCTAAAGGGTCGTCTAAAGGCTGTTGTGCGGTAGGATGTCGGAACAAACAGACGAAGCAGGCGCCTGTATCTTTTTTTCGGTTTCCGAAGGATCCTGCGAGACGGGAGGCATGGAAGCGCAGCGTGGGGCGTGCCGGATGGACACCGTCGGATGGGTCGGTTTTGTGCTCTGACCACTTCACGGCCGACTCTGTTGACTGTCAAAAGTTCCGTTCTGCGTTCGGGATGCCAGCGATGATGCCGAGACTCAAGCCAGATGCGGTGCCAACGCTGTTCGGCATTTGTCAAGCTCCGTCAACGATACTGCGCGACGAAGAGCGGAGAGAGGTGGGTACGGGCACGGCCGCTTGATCGGTAAAGATGTCGCTGGTCTGCCGCTGGCGTGGCCTAAGAAGAGGGGAGGAGCCTGGGAGAGGGGAGGGGGAGGGGCTAATGCGGAGCGCCAATGGCGAGGTGCGCGGAGGGGCGCGCGCCGGTAAGCAGGCACGGAGGCTGCGGGCTCCTATTTCAGTTGCTTTGTCGGAGTACAGATGGCGCTAGGAGCGCGCTGTCGCGTGGAGTGGGGAAGACTGGGCAGACGGGCGCAGCAACGACGCGGACACCTCTTTGAGTTGCTTTGTCAGAGTACAGATGGCGCTACGAGCGGCGCAGCGCGAGAAAACTAGGTATTTTTTTATCCACTGATGGCAAGGGGGTTTCATAGCCTCACTTTCTTTGCACTGCGGAGTGAATATAGATTTCACATTTAAATATTCTAAGCTTAAATGGTAAAGCAAAATGGCTAGGTGGCGTAAGCTACCGCCCGATCCAAAGGGCTCAGCCGTATTCATCCATCCATCCACCCGCGCTCGTGACGGTTGTGCGCCTTTGCGCTACGCGGTGAAACGGACGCACGGTCGCACTAGCGACGCCGGCATGTTGTCGCAGCCCTGTCGTGACGGCTCTTGCGGCGCGCCGCCGTAGTGATGGCAGTGAGGTCTTGTGAAAGTAATTCGGAATACGTAAAACAATCCCTGATTGATAGACAGTTTGACGTCTATTTTTAGGTTATTGGTTGTCGTATCAATACTGCTTTTCTTCTAGCAGTCTGCTAGCTGAAAGGCTCAAGACAAACAAAGACAACGCACTGGGTACTTGGCCTCTCACTAAAGGAGATGAAAGCGAGGAACAGAAATGACTCTCGAACGGTAATAAAACTGTTATTTTTGCATGAAAAAGCAATGCTTGTAAATTGCGAAGGGAAATGAATTTCCTGATCAGATATTCCTGCTTTCTTTTCACAAATTTCTTTTTCTTTTCGTACGTTTGTTAGTTTGTGCACCGGTATTGTGACCCAAAAGGCACTACGGCGCAAAGCAGCAGGGACTGGGTTAAAGAATTTTACATATATCCAATTTTTTGGACTGCACAATTAGTTCACATCTTTCGCCCACCATCAAACTTCTCACTCAGTGTATCAATAAGATGAAAAAAAAAAATACAGTAGAAATATTTCCACTTCTGTAGGTGATCAACCCAGTATAAAAGGCTCTGGATCAACCAATCGAGCGAGCACGGAAATAGAAACCGGAGCAGCTATCATCCAAGCATTTCAAACTTCGCAGTGTAGCAACTGCTGCCAGGCGAAAACAATGAAAATAAAGGAACAGCTGCACTGCGCGAAAAACTGGCTCCCACGCCACAATGCCCGATTGGATTTTTTTTTTTTTTTTTCGCGGTGGTGCTTAGATACGTGTTCCCCACCAATACAAGCCTCGTCATCGTCCGTTCATTAGACCTAAGTTATAGAATTTATTGAGGTTTTTTGTGTCTTGTTTTTGTTCCCGAAATACCTGTCAACGTGCTCCTGGCATTACTTGACTGCGCGCTGGGCAGGGGACGTCGCGGTGTTACAAGGTCCCCAGATAAGAGCTTCCTACTAGTTGCGACATTTCTTGAGGCGCCGACTGCGTGGCGGTGCAGTTTTAAGGAAGCGAATGGCGGCGCACAGCAGAAGACTGAACGGAATGGCGCCATTTTGTTCCAGTGGAATCTGCTTCGTCATTTGTATACATGCCTTGAACCTACGTCACATGACGACGTTGAACACCGGTAACACCCATGGTGGTGGTTGAGTCGATGGTGATTCGCGGCAAGAGCCTTGGTAAACTGCGCCGCGCTCGGTTGTAGCAATTGCTAAGTGCCCCGCCCAGCGTTTCGTCGGCATGCCCCGCGACAGAGTAATCATCAAGTTAGAAAAAGTACGAGCAGCAGGAAAGGAATGCGGGCGCGCATTACTGAGTTTGCGGACGGGTTTCATAGCGGCGAGCGACCGCACTTTTCTACCGTTGTTTACGTTGGTGCACACCTTTGCATCTGCTTTCTCCGTTCGTCCTGTAGATACCCTTGGCCTTTCATTTCATCACGCCGTTTCCACGCCTCAAGCGCACATTTGGGCTGTTTGCCCGGCCAGACGGCGATCGGTCAGCGGCGCCGCCGTGTGCACGCTCACAGAGACGCCGCCGCCGGGGCATCGGCTTGTGCCGTCTGCGAAGCGCGTACCTTTGCAAGGAGCGAAAGTGTGCACGTGAGCTGCTTAGGAAATATAATTTAAACCTTGATACAAGGAGAGTCGTCTTGTTCAGTATTTTTTTTTCTCCTTTTTTCAGGGTTTAGATTATGACGGTAACCTTACTTTGCTTACCAGTACTTCGCAAGATCGTAAATGTTTTACTACAAGCGGCGCCGACAGGATGGTTTTTTTGCGTCAAAACTTCGTTGGCGGCATATGGAAACTTTTTGCTCATAGCGCAATCGCACCCACGCTAGCAGCCGCCTGCCGCTCCTTTTATAACGTCACATTTCTCCATATCGCTAGCAGGGAATCCCGATGGACAATGCCCCGACCAAAGCACTAGGGCCATTGTCTCAACGTACAGCTATGCCTTTCCTTCTCCCTCAAACACCGCCATTACCCACACCCGCGCCGAGGGGCCAGACGTCCTTCGTCGCTGTGTCGCCATCGAAGTCCGGACGGAGGAAGAGGATAATCCATGCGGTAAGGGATAATCCCACAAACGCGCCAGAAGCTAGGAGAAGGCGGAATCTCTCCAAGGCTGTCGGGACGAACTTCGTCAGTCAACTCAATAATCCTTCGTTGGAGGCCACGTTGTCGACCCCAAGGCGCCTCTCGCTTTGCTTCCGGGCACAGCTGACCGGAGCCATCCGCTTATTTGTGTACTCTTGTCCCCGGCCACTTAATAAACCTATCTGGTATGGGCGACGAAAAAATAATAAAACGCTTCAACCTGTAAATAGTAAAAAAAAAAAAAAAAAAAGTAGAGAGGCGGCAAAACGAGAATGTGTGACGGCTACCACTTATATCCTAAATATATTGGCGTGGCGACGGCAAAACAACGTTTTCGCCGATACTGGGGCGCCCTTGTGAAAAGTGTCTATACTCCATTTCACTAAAACAGTGCAGTAGAGCCAAAGTTACAGGGGAGAGAGCATGTGCTAACCTGTTCACGAGGAGGGAACGGGGGAACGGGATTCCCTCCTTCCCCCTTTCCCTCCTCTTGAACAGGTCAGGGGTACATCTCTCCTGTAGCTTTGGCTGTACTGCACAGTTTTAGTGAGACAGGGTATAGTCACGCGATAACGCAGTGCATGCGCACTTAATAATACTAGTAATAATACTATTAATAATATAATAATTTTACATTTTTATTCATAGCAATAAACAAATACAAATACAGGTCTGCGTGAGCCAAGGGAGGCTTATGTTGCATGACCTTGCGGTACAGCCCATTCCTTGCAGAAATAGCAGGTAGCAACATAACTCACTAAATATCAACTGTAGATTTATCACTTGGTGATATCATGTAATAAATTTTTTCAGACTCTTTTTGAACCCATGGTTAGAATAAGTTATCTAATAGCTCATTAAAAATCTTCGGCACGTAAAATTACCTAATGCTTTCCCCATAATGAGTATAGATACGAGGAATTTCAAAGCCGAGTAGTGTTCTAAATATACGTGGGGCCAAACTCTCAGTTTTAAAATCACTGCATCAAACGTGACAAAAAACAACCGCCTGAATAAATAACGAATAGAAACAAGGCAATTTGAGTAAACTAAATAAGTTATCACCTGAGGTGTTGAAGTAACACTTTTCAACATCCCCCTCAGAATGCTATCAATTCTGGCGTGCCATTGTCGAAAGCAGTTAAAAAATAGAGTGACACCATACTTAAGGACACCACACCAAAGAGTGCATGAGCATTTTTCTACTTGCAAACAGAAGGTAAACCTTTAGGTTATGGAGCTAACAAGATACACTTGCGACCAATCTCCGATAGAGGCGTCCGCTTTCAAACGGCAAACGCTCCCCATAGTTTGAGTTGGACCCTCTCTACAATCTAGGCTACAATCTAGGTAAACTCAGTTTTCCGAGGGACGTTTTTAGATTTCATTTGTTTATATGACTACTCTGGGCCCTGACTTGATGTGATAACGATAATTAAAATGACACCGCCTTGACAACGTGCTCGCATTTTTAAAATAGGAGAGCAAGTACATTGTCGTTCCCGTTGTTCAATTCACTCGGGAATTAACCAAGCTCGATATGTCTCTATGAAAGAATCAGTTAATTTGGCAGTTCTTGCTTTCCCGAAGATTTTCATTACAACACCCATATACGTGTCTTTTCATGATGATTTTTTTTTTTTTTTTTTTTTTTAGGCGAGAATTTTGAGCTCGTAGGCAGTTGCTCCTGCTGATCGAGAGTTCTCCGAGATGCATTTTTCAACGAAGAGTTCACGCTGGCAGCCCAGTCGCGGAATTGTTGTACATCACAAAAAACTGGGAAGCAAAACATAAAGCGAAACAAAGGGCAAATGAACACAGATACGGTATGTAGAAACGATGTGAAAAAGTTGAACAAAGAGGGCCAATTTCCGAGCGAAAATGAATCGGCGAGATGAGATCACGATGGCGCATGCCATTTCTAGTACTCGAGACATGGGAACCGGGACTCGTAGCCGGTTGCCTGCGGGCTGCGTCTCGGCGAGTCGCGGGCCGCATGCGGTCCGCGTGTTTGAGACCCCTGATCTAGGCTATCACGAACAATAGGCGAAAGAAGCGATGCCGCCGGCATGATCCTTTCCTCGTTATGTCATCAAGTATCGAAGCCGATTTTATATAAAGGCATTTTGTCTCGTTTATAGGCGTTAGAAAACAGTTCCGATAACGCGTCTTGCTCTCTTTATGGCGCACAAAACAAACACTATTGGCCTCGAGACCCAGATTGGATTGTATGGAAGCGTGCTTTTGTTTATCTATGGTT